TTTTGCGAAAGGATGGTAAGTTCGACAAGAAGAAAGGTAAAAGTCAACAAAAGTCTTATAGTCGCGAAACATCTAGTATTTGATGTTATCAGTGTAAGAAGGAGGGTCACATAAGAAAGGTGTGCCCTGAACGTCTGAAAGATCATGGAGGTAATGGCAATGCAACCATTGTTCAAGATGACTTCGACTCATCTGATGTTCTTGTGGTTTCAAGTGGCGACTCGAGAAAAGAGTGGATTATGGATTCAGGTTGCACTTGGCACATGACTCCAAACAGAGAATTGTTCGAGGAGCTATGTGATCAAGATGGTGGATCTGTGCTGTTGGGAAACAACAAATCTTGCAAAATTGCAGGTATTGGATTTGTGAGATTTAAACTCCATGATGAGTCAATAAGGTTATTGACTGAAGTCAGGTACGTACCTGACTTGAAGAGAAATTTGATTTCTCTTGGTGAATTCGACAGAAAAGGATACGTTTTTCAAGGAGAGAAAAGTATCCTAAGAGTCATGAAGGGGTCGAACGAAGTCTTGAGAGGCGTGAAGAAACAAGGCTTGTATACCCTTGAGGCTGAGGTTGTAAGTGGTTCGACAAATGTTGCATCCACGAAACCTATGTCGAAGACATAATTATGGCACATGAGATTGGACCATGTCAGCGAAAGAGGCCTGGTCGAATTGGGGAAGCAGAACCTGCTAGGACGTGACAAAGTCGAAAAGTTAGAATTTTGTGAATCTTGTGTATTTGGTAAATCCTATAGGGCGAAATTTAACAAAGGTAAGCATAGAACACATGGATCCCTGGATTACATTAATGCTGATCTTTGAGGGCCTGCAAGGAAACCTTCACACTCAGGTGCAAGGTATTTTCTATCCATCGTTGATGACTATTCCAGAAATCTATGAGTATTCATTTAAAAGACGAAGGATGAAACTTTTGAGAATTTCAAAAGTTGGAAGATTCTGGTCAACTCAAACTGGCAGAAAGGTTAAGAGGTTAAGAACTGACAATGACCTTGAATTCTACAACGAAGTGTTCAACAATTACTGTGTTGAGTCTGGGATTGCAAGACATAAGACTGTAACAATCCTTGAAAGGGTTAGATGCATGTTGGTTAGTGCTGGATTGAAGAAGGTGTTTTGGGTGGAAGTTGTTTCGACAACAGCTTACCTGATAAATAGATGTCCCTCGACTGCCTTAGGAGTGAAGACACCTGAAGAAGTTTGGTCGGGACATCCACCTAGTCTCGACAGACTAAGAGTATTTGGCTATGTGGCCTATGCTCATATTAGGCAAGACAAGGTCGAACCTAGAGCTCTGAAATACATGTTCACGGGATACCCTAAAGGAGTCAAAGCTTATAGGCTATGATGCCTAGAGCCAGGTCACAGGAGGTGTGTCACCAGTCGAGATGTAGTTTTCAATGAAGCAGAGATGGCTTTCAAGAAAACTGATGATGCTGACGAAGAACTGGAACAGAGAGAGATTCCTGTTGAGGTGGAGCATGTTGATGCTGAATTGCATACCCCAAATGAAGTCAAAAAAGACGCAGAAGATGTTGTCGAAGATGAGGAGACTGATAATGACTACCTGCTAGCAAGAGACAGGTCGAGGAGAGTCATAAAGCCACCTCAAAGACTTGGGTATGCAGATCTTATAGCTTATGCCTTAATCTCTGCAAGTGAAGTTCTAGACGAAGAACCTAGAGACTATAAGGAAGTTATGAGGAATCGAAAAAGGACTGAATGGCTGAAGGTTGTAGATGATGAGATGAAATCTCTTCATGATAACAACACCTGGGAACTGATCAAGAAACCTACTGGAGCCAGGTTAGTCAGCTGTAAATGGATTTTCAAAGTTAAGGAAGGAATCGAAGGAGTGGCGTCGAAGAGATACAAGGCAAGATTGGTTACTAGGGGTTTCACTCAGAAATAAGGTATTGACTTCAATGATGTGTTCTCTCCTGTTGTGAAGCACATATCCATTTGAATGTTGCTTGACATGGTGACCCAATTTGACCTTGAACTAGAACAGATGGATGTGAAGACTGTGTTCTTGTATGGTGATATATATGAAACAATCCTGATGAGGCAACCTGAAGGGTATGTCGAAAGGGGGAAAGAAGATTATGTGTGCAAACTAAATAGATCTTTGTATGAACTGAAAAAATCTCCTCGATAGTGGACTAGGAGATTCGACAAGTTCATGACACACATAAGTTTCATCAGAAGTCAGTTCGACCACTATGTTTACTTCAGATTTCGACCGGGTAATTCATTTGTTATTTTGTTGCTCTATGTGGATGATATTCTAATAGCAAGCAACAATGTCGAAGAGGTAACGAGGGTGAAAGCTGAACTCAATAAAGAGTTCGACATGAAGGATTTGGGAGCTGTGCCGAAGATTCTTGGGATTGATATCCGGAGAGATAGAAAGCAGTCGAAATTATGCTTATCTCAAGAGGCATACCTACAGAAGGTTCTCGAAAAGTTTGGTATGTCAAATTCAAAGTCTGTTGTGACTCTGACAAACCCTCAATTCAAGCTGAGTATAGATCAGTGTCCCAACACTGATGTTGAAAGAACTTATATGAATATCATTCCATATGCTAACATAGTAGGTTCTTTGATGTATGTTATGGTCTGTACTAGACCCGACATAGCATATGCAGTAAGTCTTGTAAGCAGGTACGTGGCGAATCCTGGAAAGGCTCACTGGCAAGCATTGAAGTGGATTTTAAGGTACATAAAATGGATCTCTGAATAGAGTCCTAATTTATGGTGGAGCCTTGGGTGAAGATAGTAAAGCAGCAATCGAAGGATATATCGACTCTGATTATGCAGGTTGTATGGATTCCAGAAAATCTATCTCTAGATATGTGTTCACTATATTTGGAACAACAATCAGTTGAAAAACAACACTTCAGGAGGTCGTTGCCTTATCAACCACTGAAGCGGAGTATATTTCCCTAACTGAAGCTGTGAAGGAAGCATTGTGGCTTGAAGGTTTTGCAAAGAAGCTAAAACTTCAAGGTCGAGTTATCACTGTTAAATGTGATAGTCAAAGTGCAATACACCTGTCGAAGAATTCAACTTATCATTGATGTGAGGCTGCATTTCATCAGAGGGGTAATCGAGCGTGGAGAAGTTCAAGTGCTGAAGGTTTCGACAGATCATAATGCTGCTGATATGATCACCAAGACGTTGCCCAGTTGCAAGTTTTTCCACTGTATGCAGTTAATAAAGCTGCATGAAGAAGGCTAGTTTCTTGATGTTATAGAGTTAGATCCAATGTGGAGATTTGTGAGATGTTGGATCGAACTCTAGTATGGTCGAAGTCTGTTCGCGAGTAATGCGTGTTGTAGTCGAAGTTTGTTCTAACATGCATTAGTCAATATTGCTAGGGTTGTTAGTATGTTGAATTGGGCCTTGCGTGTAAGTCCAATTGTTTAAGTTAGCTTGTAATGGGTAATTGTTAAAAAGCCCATTAGGTTAGTGTGTTATTTTTCTTATAAATAGGATACTAGTTTCTCAATCTTGTCATAAGGAAAAATAGGAAGATAAAACCCTAATTTCAAGAGAGAGAGAGGTTATTTTGTTATTCTTGTATACTTGTAATATTGTTCTAAGAGAAAGGAAAGAATAACAACTTAATAACCAATCTTTGTTGTTTTCTTCTTTATTAACCCTAACCCTTGTGTGTTTCTTGATCATTAAGAAACTGTTTATACTTAATTTTAAGGTATCTGATTCACAACAAACTTCTTCGATAAAAAGCCTCTACTAAAGATAATTTGTGTAAGTATAAAGTGTTTGTGGATCCTTATGGTGTCTTGTGTTTAATGAAAAAAGGGATGACAAAGTCTTTGATATGGTATCTTTAGGTGAATGAGGTGGGACTTTATTCTCCCAAGGGATCTTAATTCTATTTTTTTTCCTCGGAACATTGGAAGGAAAGTCTAAGGTGAAGGGTGGTTTGGTTATGAGATGGAAATCTAGTAGTGATATAGTTTTTTAGGTTTCTTTGTTGATGTGGAAGATGTAGAAGATAAAAACATTTTTTTCTTTCTTAGAAATGCTATCTTGGTAGGTGCTGACTAAATTAGCAAATGAAATAGTCGAGCTGAAATAATAAAATAAAAGATTATCTCTAAAGAGACTGTGTATTGTAACAAAGTTATAATTGTGCTTTTAAAAGTAAATATTGAAGGTTTTCAAATGGTTATACGGAAATAATTTACGCGAATAAAGTTTATAAAAAATACGATAATAAAAAAAACAATCAAGTTTTATTTCGAGTCTACTAATTATCACTGTTGGTAACGATATTTTAAAATACGATAAATTAACACGACCGTTATACTCAATTCCTTAGTGTATAATTTACTCGGCGAATACGAAGTAAAAACAAGCAACAACTTTAATTTCTTTATCACAAACTTATAAATTTAGTTCACCATGATAGACCAATAAATCTAAATCTGATTCACCATTAACCTTCACCTCCAAAATGATACTTGTATAACTAACACTATAACGTCCAAATTGATTATTCTAGACAGGATCAACAAAAGAGTTTTGGTAGGTTATTGAAGAATGAAGGAGGTGTGGCACAATTTTAGCTAATATATTTGTATTTTCAAGCGAGTACTATCAAACAGTGCCGACATGGAAGTATTAAGTACAAAAAACTGGAAATCCAAACATGCCAATAGTGAGAGGTGCATATCACATCTTCTATCTTTGCTCTGGGCCCTCTTCCGTAACAGGTGGAGTTCACAAAAGCTATCACCGTTTATTAACCGTCCGTGACGTTACTATTAAAAAATGTACTATGTACTGTATTATATCTTATTACTTTACTCTACCTTCAAGTAATAATAATAATACTATAATAGGACTCATCTTTTTTAGTGGACAACCCTTTGCAAGAAGATCCTAACACTCAAAGTTGGAAACTAAACAAAGCAAGCAAGTAACAAACAAGAGTGAGCGTGAAAGATGCCTCGTAGCAGTTTTTCAGGGTCACTGTCTTCTCCCAAGTTGGATGTGGTTATAGACATGGGCAATCCATTCCTTAACCTCACTGTTGATGGTTTCTTGAAGATTGGAGCTGTAATTCATTTCTCAACTTCTTCTCTTTCTTCTTTTTCATTAACAATATGAACTAACCTTCTTCCTTTTATTCTTCTTCAGGTTGCAGCTACAAGATCAGTTGCAGAAGACACCTTTCATATAATTCGAAAGGGTAAGTATTTGTCCACTTCTGATTACCCTTTTGTTTAAATTGCCAAAAGATGAAAACTTTGATTTGGGTTTATTATAAAATATCTTATTTCCTTGTTCCAGGAAGTATCTCAAGTAATGATTTTGAGAAATCTGTAAGCTCACTATTTAACATTGTTGATTCTTTTGGGGTGGCTTTCATTTCTACAATTTCACATTGACATTTTCAGTTGTATAAACTCCAATTATAAATATTTTACTGATTTTGTATATGCGCATCTTGACCTTGGGAGGTTTGGTCCCAGCATAAAATAATGAGGGAAACCTCTAGATCTGGATTCTCCTATTTCATGGAATCATACATTTGACACAATAATGTGATTTGAACTGTCAAATCAAAATCGAATGACACATGTTATGACTTTGATAAATAGGTCCGAAATACAAAGACATGAATCATCCGATCTCGATCTGTCATGTCAGTCTAGATTGGCAACTGTCTGATTGCATGAATGTTGAGAATCTAAACTGAGTAACATTGTTCAATTTGACAGACTAAATTGCTGTTTTGTAAATTTGAGGGACTAGGTTGACTGACCATTACGATTTCGAGAACTAAAATGATGATTTGCTCTATATTTTGTTGAGCATGATATGCTTGGTTTCTTGTTGATGAGAAATAGTCTTGTTGCAGCTGAAGAAGATGTGTAAAGAAGGTGCATACTGGGGTAAGTCTTATGTTGCATTATGTAATATGGGAAGTTCAGCTAGTAAATGCATTAGCTATGTTCAATGTATTTTCTTTTCTATGCTTACAGGAACTATAGCCGGCGTATATGTTGGAATGGAATATGGTGTAGAGAGGATCCGTGGCACGAGGGACTGGGTAATTCTCTGCAACAATAGTATATTTTCGATATTTTAAATAGACTTATCATATTGTACAATGTACATTCTATGCTAGAGAAAACATTTCATTCTGAACATGTCTTCAAAAAAATTGCATGTAGTCTGATAAATTTCAAGCTGGTATGAACAAGCATCATGTTTGGCTTTAAGTGAGTCTAATAGTAAACTAGCTTTTGTATGAAACTTTTGAAAAATGCAGCTTTCGTGAATGTATATTAAGTTTTAGGTGTCAGATAAATTTGGTATAATAGTTTTTGACAACGAGATTCTTACCATAGCACCACATTGTTCCCTTGGTCTTTTGATGTACTGCAGAAGAATGCTATGTTCGGAGGTGCAGTGACAGGGGCTCTGGTATCTGCAGCAAGCAACAACAAAAAAGACAAGATTGCAGTAGATGCCATTACAGGGGCTGCAATTGCGACAGCTGCAGAATTCATAAATTACCTTACCTGAAATGACGAGACTGGATGCGTTGTTACATTTGGTCTCCTTTGTCTTTGTCTTGCTGGTTATGTAATAATTTTGATGCAATTACTAATAAGATGTGCTATTCAGCTCTCTACTTAACATGTTTTGTCAATGAAAATGGATCCACTGCAGTCAACTTGTTTTGTCAATGAAAATGGATCCACTGCAGTCAACTTTTTGACGCAGCATTGCTTTTTAAATAATAATTATAAAATGCTAATTTAAAATCAGAACCGTCTAATCTTGATCAAACAGATAGAGAAGCTAGATTATGTGACTGCAACAAATCACATTCCCTTATATATAGAGTCGTGCGAACCTATTTGTATGATACCAATATATAATATACAGATTCTAATATATTTTCAACTGTGCTTGAATTGAAAAATAAAAATTATCTTGAAGAAAATTTTCAAGCCGGAACATTTTCCAAGAGAAAGAAACCGTAGGTCCTGGTAAGGTTATAGAATAATATTCCCTGAATGACAGTCCAAATATGTCTCAGTAGAGCATAAAAATATACTCCAAAGGTCACCTATTATGTTGGACTCTTGTTGGACTCTGAATTCATAAATGGAGAAACTTTACCGACATCAGACTTCTGCTCACACTCGTAACTTTGTAAGTTTCTTTCCCTCTTGCCAAAACCTCTCCATCTGAAATTGTCCTGGGTGCGGGGACCCCGTTCCAAGCTAAAAACTTGCACCTGTAATTAATTGCAAGATATACATAAATTAGCAAACAAACCAAAACAAATATGTTATACAGTTATACCTGTAGTATCTTACATTTTCAGTTGTTGATATGATACAAACAAAAGAAGATTTCTTTCATAAGCAATGCCAGATGATCGTATTGACTCTTGTTCCACAATTATTACATGTTTGTTAAATAGAATGACAACATAAAGATACATATAATGAGATAATATTAATTCGGTTGTAATAAACTATCAGGTTCGAAGCTGTTCAGCAATTCTCAAAAGATTTGGATTATAAATCTTAGCTTTTACATAAACTTTAATTAAACTCTTGAAACAATCTCAGCATTTCCAACATCCCTTTTTTCAGCAAAAATCTCAGCAATTGAAAGAGTAGTCTCCAACCATAGTGTTGAATTGCTAACCCTCTTATTAACTGTAAAACGCGTGCCCAAGCCCAAGTCTAGTGTCTTCAAAGCTTGCTCTGCCTTACCAGATTTCAAGCAGCCTAGAGCAAGATGACGATGTATTATGGCATTTGGTTTGCACCCATTTGTCTTCATATTTTTGTATAATCTAGATGTTTTGTCAAGTACTCCATGCTTGCAATACATGAAGGAGGCATATTAAAAATTTCCTTAAAATTTAAAGGATCCTGGAAATTTTAGCTAGTATATTTGTGTTTTCAAGCCAATACTATCAAACAATGCCGACATCAAAGTATTACGTACAAACAATGCCGACATCCAAGTATGCCAATAGTGAGGGGTGGATATTAAATCTTCTATCTTTGCCTGGGCCCGTCTTCCATAACAGGTGGACTTCACAAAAGCTATCACCGTTTATTAACCTCCATTAATAGTACTATTTAAGAACGTGCTACGTAGTGTATGCTATATTACTTTTCTCTACTTTAAATCACATCCATAATAGTGGACAAGCTCTTACTCTGTACTACTTTCCCTAAGATCCTAACACTCAAAGTTGGAAACTAAACAAAACAAGTGAGTGTGAAACATGCCTAGTGGCAGCATTTCAGGGTCACTGTCTTCTCCCAAGGTGGATGTGGTTATTGACACTGGCAATCCATTCCTTAACCTCACCGTTGATGGTTTCTTGAAGATTGGAGCTGTAATTAATCTCTCAACTTCTTCTCTTTCTTCTTTTTCATAGACAGTTTGAGCTAACCACCTCCTTCTTCTTCTTCTTCAGGTTGCAGTTACAAGATCAGTTGCAGAGGATACCTATAACATTCTTCGAAAGGGTAAGTGTTTCTTAACTTATATTATTACCCTTTTGTTAAAATTAACAAAATGGCCAAAAGATGAAAACTTTGATTTGGGTTTATTATTATATAAATTAACAAAAAGGTTAAATATGTTTGTGGTTTTTTTAAATATTTTAAATTTTGTTTTTAGTCACTCAAAATATTTTTTTCAAAAAATGTTGCTCCTAACAATTTTCATCAACGCTTTTGGTCTCTCGTACAACTTAGTGACGATTTTTACAACTTAGCGACAGTTTATTACTTAACGACTAAATTAACGACGATTTTAATATTAGGGATCAAAAGTGTTGATGGAAAATTTTAGGAGGACCATTCTTTAAAGAAAATATTATGAGAGACTTAAAATGAAATTCGAGATATTTAGAAGGAACAAAGACATATTTAACCCTTAACAAAATTACCAATGTATTATACTTTTCTTTTTGAATTATTATTTTCATTTGTGAAGATCTTTGTCTGACTAACTAAACATGTATGTTCCAGGAAGTATCTCAAGCAATGATTTTGAGAAAAGTGTAAGTTCGTTATTTAACACTTTCGTTATAATGGTTGATTCTTTTGGGTGGCTTTCATTTCTCCAATTTAACATTGATATTTTCAGTTGTATACACTGTAACTATAACTAGTTTACAAATTGGAATAAATGCATCTTTGTTAAAGAGTAGAGTGTTGGAACTTGGGTGGTTTGGTCCTATCCTATCATAAAATAATGGCAGGGAAACCTCTAGATCTGGATTCTCCCATTTCATGGAATCACTCACATTTGACACAATAATGTGATTTGAACTGTCAAATGACACGTGTTATGCATGAGTCATTCGATCTTGATTCGTCAGTCTCGATCAACAACTGAGTGATTGCATGAATGTTGAGAATCTAAATCCTTCAAATTAATCTTTTAAATGTACAAAATAGCAAACTAGTCCTTCAAATTAAAGAACATCTATCAATTTTGTACCACCATTAAAATATCTTTTCAGTAAACATTCATCAAATTCAGTAAACATTCATCAAATTCAGTAAAAGATCTACCTATTGACTTTAAAATAGTCTCTTGCTATATCTAGACAAATGTATAACCTTCAAAATTTTGGTGCTAAATTTAGAGAAAGAACTTAATTGAGTAATGCCGTTCAATTAAAGAGACTAAATTGTTTTCTTTCCGTAAATTTGAGGGATTAAATCGACTGACCTTTACAATTTCAAGGACTAAAAAACGTTGATTTACTCTATATTTTGTTGAGCATGGTATGCTTGGTTCCTTGTTGATGAGAATTAGTCTTGTTGCAGCTGAAGAAGCTGTGTAAGGAAGGTGCATACTGGGGTAAGTTTTGTGTAGCATTTTGTAATATGGAAAGTTCAACTAGTAAATGCATCAGCCCTGTTCAATGTATTCTCTTTTCTATGCTTACAGGAACTATAGCTGGCGTGTATGTTGGAATGCAATATGGTTCAGAGAGGATCCTTGGCACCAGGGACTGGGTAATTCTCTCCAACTGCAGTATAATTTCGATATTTTAAATAGAATTATTATTATTATTGTACATTCTATGCTAAGAGAAAACACTTTATTCTGAACATGTCTTCAATAAAATTGCATCTAACCTGATAAATTTCAAGCTGTTACGAATGAGCATCATGACTGTATGAAAATTTTGAAAAATGTACACATCGATGTAGGTTTCATGACTGTATATTATGTTTTGGGTGTCAAATGAATTTGATATAATAGTTTTTGACAATGAGATTCTTACCATAGCACTACATTGTTCCCTTGGTCTTTTGATGTACTGCAGAAGAATGCCATGGTCGGAGGTGCAGTGACAGGGGCTTTGGCATCTGCAGTCAGCAACAACAAAGCAGACAAGATTGCAATAGATGCCATTACAGGGGCTGCAATTGCCACAGCTGCAGAATTCATAAATTACCTTACCTGAATGAGCGAGACTCGATGTATTGTTAAACTTAGTCTCCTTTGTCTTTGTCTTTGTCTTACTGGTTATGTAATAATAAACTACTCTTAACATCTTTTGTCAATGACATGCTCAGCGGATATTATATGCATATTCTAATTATTTTCAACTGTACCCTAATTGAAACATAAAAATCATAAAGAAAATTTTCAAGCGGAACATTTTCCAAGAGAAAGAAAGTGTAGGTCCTGGTAGGGTTACAGAATAATATTCCCTGAACTACAGTCCAAATATGTCTCAGTAGAGCATTTTCAACTGTAACTAATTGCAAAATACATAAATTAGCAAACTTTATCAAACTAAAGGGTTTTCAATTTCTGTAAGATTTCAGTTAGTAGTTGTTGTATTCAGTTAGTTTGTAGCTAAGAATCAACTTGGTTAGTTAGCTTTTTGTAAACCACTTATCTGTATAATGCTGTACTTTTATCATCTAAATACACTTTTGATTCTTTCTCTTCACTTAGATCTTTGCAAATGAGTTTTTTATGCATTCAGATTGTAACCTCTAGTAAATTTTGTTATGCAACTAAACCAATGGATAAACACTTTTGAAGCTCAAAGTAACTGTTACAAAAAGTATTACACAATATATCACAAAGTTATACCTTCATATACATGACACGCAAAGATTTCACATGTCTGTCCTCCTTTATTCAACTCAGACATCATTGACAGCAACGGTAACTTTAGGCAATTCTTCATAGTGATCAGATTTAGATAATCACCAGAGAACTGTATTTACCAACTTATAACATAATAATGATCAGATATAGCCATATACTAGGTGATAAAAAAAGCATGAAAATATTTAAAACATTGGTATCAATGAAAAGCGGGCAAACGAATTTGATTAGGTGTACAAATAACTGGCAGCAGTTAAAAGAGTTCAGAAATTTATTCTTTATTATGCTCGTTTAATCTTCAATTATCATCTTGATCATTTTATCATGTTCACTCTAATTCATAGAAATATAATTTGAATAGTAGCAGCAATTAAAATCAAACAAATTAGGAGGCAAATATCATTCAGCATAGTTTGTGCAATAGCTTGCATGTGACCCATATGGAATCAATTGATAACAGAACATGACTTGAGATTTTAAACAAACCAAAGTAGATTCTTCGTATCTGTTTCTCTTCATTTTTCCAGCAAGGGCTCCCTTGTGGTATTGCTTCTTCTATAATTCTATTCCTTTTTGGTTCCAAGATCGACTTTGGAACTCCTAATATCGTTTTTCTATTGTTGTTTCCAACTTGCAAAAATCCGAAAATAAAAAACCTTAAAACAAAATATAAATGAAGAGTGCATCGATAAAAGAAAAACTGTTACGAACTCGGCATTTTTCTGGTTTTGGAAATTGCAAGATGACTGAAATATTGATTCACTTATGCACCTTCCAATGATAGGAAAGAAAATTAAAACAATTATCATGTCTCTTCTAAATGTATTCCTAAGTTTGATTTTGTCCAGGTCATAACCAACCTTCCAAAAGTGTTATCACTTTCTTCATCTTCTGCAAATAACTCAATTGTTTGTTTGTTTGTGTAATCATGACACTCACAAGTGGTAATAGATAGAACAATGTGTTATTAAGAAAACCATCAACTAATTCAACTCCCACATTTCCTAACAACTTATACTGACAATCTATTATGGAGCAATAAGGCCAAATTTGGAGAGGTAAATGTAAATCAACATGTTATACCTGTAGTATCTTTACATTTTCAGTTGTTGATATGATACAAACAAAAGGAGCTTTCATAAGCAATGTCAGATGATCTTATTGACTCTTGTTCCACAATTGTCACATGTTTGTTAAATAGAATGACAGCATAAAGATACATATAATGATATAACATTAATTCCATTGTAATAAACTATCAATTAAACTATCAGGTTCGAAATTGTTCAGCAATTTTTAAAAGACTGTAAGTTTCAGCATCAGGGTTAGCTCCTCCAAGAATCATCCTTCTCAAAAGATTTGGATTATAAGTCTTAGCTTTTACATAAGCCTTAATCAAGGTATTATATACAAAAGTATACCTACAGTACCTAGCTTTATGAAACTCTTCAAACAATCTCTCAACATTTTCAACATCCCCCTTTTCAGCAAGAATCTCAGCAATTGAAAGAGTAGTCTCCAACCATGGTGTTGAATTGCTAATCTTCTTGTTTACGGTTTGACGCATGCCCAATTCTAATGTCTTCAAAGCTTGCTCTGCCTTACCAGATTTCAAGCAGCCCAGAGCAAGATGACGATACGTTATGGCATTCGGTTTGCACCCATTTGTCTTCATATTTTTGTATAATCTAGATGCTTTGTCAAGTACTCCATGCTTGCAATACACAGTCATCATTGAATTAAATTGCTCTACAGATTTCAATCCTTTTAACGACTCCATTTCTGACCAAATCTCTTCAGCTCGGTTTAACTCTCCAATCCTACCAAATGCTTCAATGGCTAACAAATAACTTTTAGATCTAACAAAGGGAAGTCCTTTAATGATATCCCAAATCCTTTCCAGCTCCTTCTGGCTCCCTAGATACCCATACAATATAAGCAAGACATCCAATGATGACCAGTTATTCCCCGTCATAGATTTCTCCACAGCCTCAACATACATTTCAGTTGCAGTGTACAATCTAGCAACTGCATGTGCAGTAGCTAAAATGCAGTAAGATATTTCATTCGGTTCAACCTGCACCCGTTTCATTCGATCAAAAAACCTCATCAAATTTTCAAGATTGTGTTCATTGGCCTCTATTTTCATCAAAATATTGTATGTCGAAACATGCGGTGTAACCTTATCAGCCTTCATTTGAGTAAGTAAACCAGGTATCATCTTCCTGCGACCCGGCGAGGAATGCAGAATTATTAACCGGTTAAAGACCAAATGCGAAATGGGATGACCCAATTCCCTCATTCTCTTCATGTACTCGAGTGAAAGCCTTACGACACCTTTATCCAAACAAGCAATCACAAGATTGTTATAGAGTAACTCATTCTGAAATTCAACCGGAACACGAGTGAATAGATTTTCACCATGTGGAATTCCATGAAGCTTAGTAGTGAATTCCACCAAATAAGAATAATCCAACTCCCTAGGTCTATAGGGTCTCTCCCTAATCACCCATTCCATCACCTATCAAAATCCACACAAGAGAAAATGTTCAACTCTCAAACAATGGAACCGTAAACAAAACACAATGTGATAGTTATTTTCATTGAAACATAACAAGATTGGTTAAGAAAACAGAAAAGAAAGAACTAATGAGTAAATTTTACCTCAAGTGCGCGTTTGTTGAAGTTGAGTTTTCTGAGGCGGTTAATGGTGTGAAAGACGTCGGTGCCGCGAACGGGGAAGCCATCACCCATCCAACTACGGAAAGCGGACGCTATTGATTCTCCTTTGGGAAGCTTTTCGATTCTCTTGCATAAGCTGTCTTGGTTTTGTGTTGTTTGTGTGCAGAAGAGTTTGAAACTAAAATGGGTTTCAATAGCACCAACTGTTCGACGTATTGTCTGTATGAACTTTGCTTGTACTTTGAGACTCCTTAGACTACGCATGTTCATGCTTGTTTTGTTCTGACCCCATACAGTGTTCTGCTCATGCTTTTTCATACAATTAAAAAAATACCAATATTAGGAAATCAATGAAAAAAATGGGTTTAATTTTGCTAATTTTTTTTATAAAGTTTTATTTAAAGGGGATAATAAAAAACTATATATAATTTTTATTTAAAGGGAAATAATAATAAAATATGGGTTTAAATATTAATGAGAGAAAAGTTAAATATTTTTGATGAGTATGATTTATTGCCTAACGCTTCTCTTTTAAAATATAAGGATGAGAAAACAAATGTTGACTTTGTAAAAAATTACACGAAGCCCACATGATAAATGAAAGGTTTCTCTTACAATTGAAATTCAAATTACAATTAAGAGAAGATTGTTCATTTTAAGTGCTTTTAAAGATAAATTTTTTCGGTGAGTAAGTCTAAGTGTTACTTTCAATGTTGCTAATTTATCTCCGGATGATAAGCACAATTCAAGGTTGAATTCTCTTCAAAAAGAATGGGATGATGAGAACATGGAGCACCAAGATTTAAATGAATAAATTCAAAGTCTATGATTTTCTATGACAAAAGCACGTGCTAAGAGAATCAATGATGTCTTAATTCAATTCACGGTCAGACTAATGGAAGCAAGAGAGCAATTGAGAGGAAATGAGTCAAGACTTATCATCTGAATTCAAACTCATGAAAAAGATGTCCCATGTGGGTTTGGTGTGTCGCATCGCTGCGAAGAGGGGCCGACAAGGATAGAAGAGTCACCATCGTTCGTTATTTATCCCAAAGAGAGGGAAAGGAAACGATCAGATAAAACCTAACGAAAAAAGGGAAAAGACAGATCATCGCAACCAAATCTTGGGTTCGAGAGTCGGTTACGCAAGGGGAAGGTATGAGCACCCCTCATGTCCGTCGTACTCGACGGGATCCACGCTTGTTGTCTATCTAAAAGGGTGTTTATCTATCTAAGCTACAGGCTCACAGGACAAAAGAAAAGAAAAGAAAAGAGACTCGATAGAGCACCACCGCTCTATGCCTACGTATTCCCTCATGCAATGGGAAAGTCAGAGTCAACGTAGTTCGGAATAGTACGGGTGAAGGTAGGGAAGGTTTCTCGCCAAGACATCGCCGTCTTGTGTCTACGTATTCTCATCTGGTATGAGAAATCAGAGCAAACGTAGTTCGGACTGACACGACCACAAATTGGTTCAAGTGTTTTAGCCGAGTAGGGTTAAACCTTAGTTCTAGCAGTTAGGTGTATTGTTGCTCGACCATTGGAGACTTAGGCGTTACTTGTTTGCGGTAGAACCAAGAGTTAACAATACTCTTTTATGAAAATGATTTTCAATTAATCCCGAAGGATAAAAAGGTTTGATGTTTGTTTTTGAGTCTTTTATGAAGAAATGAATTGAATTGTGTTTGTAATTCATGTTGCATTAAAGACTCTGACTTAGGAGCGAATGTGTTGCATATCGTCCAAAGGACATACGCTAAACACTCTAGACGGTATGAGAGGAGGCCCCATATCATCATTTCCCAAATGCTTAAGGCTTGTAGCGTACAACACTTATTATCCTTTATTAGATGTTTTGAAGAAATTTTGAGATGAGAAGGGAGAAGACACAACTAAGGGGACACTAACTAAACCCTAATGTTATCATGCAATGTGCTCCTATGATTGAGATTAAGAGGGGAAAATCTACCCTAATGTTAGCATGCTTGGATTGAACACTTAATGTCTCTCCTACTCCCAAAGGGACTAGGAATCCTAAGGGATCATGGCAAAAGAACCAAGTAAACACAAGATAAATCAATCACAAGTGAGATGAAAGAAAGGGATGCAAACATGAAATGCAACATAAAGAAAAGAGGGAGGAAAAAAGCGTGGGGCAGCAACCACCACAAACACATCTCAAGAGGGCAAAAGTGAGATGAAATGGGAGAAGCGAGCTCCTACGACCATCGACCATCAATCGCCGAAGAAAAGTGGGAGGAAAAAGTGTGGGACAGCAGCCACCACAAGCACATCTCAACCAAATAATTCTTCAAACTCAAACCAAACAAATGAACACTCATCACTTTGAACAACATCCATAAATGTATGCATTCAAGTGGAAATCGAACAACGCGTGTCGAAGAAATCATGATTAAACAATCAAGAACAACAACACAATATCCAACACATCTCACTTAAATGCACCATACTGATCCATGAAGATTCAAAGTGAAACGATACCCAAAACAAGCTCAAAAATAGCAAACATGACATTATGGTTCAGTGTTAATCGGTTAACACATATAGTTAACCGATTAACCAGTTAAAAATGTTTGAAAAATTTAAAATTCGCATTGGTTAATCGATTAACCAGATTGCACTGCATCTGGTTAACCGATTAACACTGTACCAAAGGCAGAAAACAACAGCTCAAAAGCACTTTTAAGCAATTAATCACTTCTCCAATAATCTAGATGATTATATAATCAATTATGCACGAAATTAACACCAGAAAACAGTGATCCAACAACATGTAAACACATTAAAACAGCAAGATCATAAATCACATGGATCAAAAATCAACAAAATCAATCAAAAATGAAGATCAACGTGATGATTATGCAAATAAGCTCAAAAACATAATCGGATCTAGAATTTCCAACCTACAAAGCAGAGATTTGCTTTGGTGAATGTTGATTCACTTGAAATGAGTAGATCCGAGCTAGAAATCCGGAATTCCTTTAAGATCCAAGTGAGTTCTTGTAGTAGAAATGAAGATCCACCAAAATTAAGCAAGAATTATCCAAATAAGCTCCTCTATATCAACTTCAAAATTCAGATCCACAACAGCAAGAAATTTGAATAGAGAATTGGAGATGATAAGGATGAAGGATGAAGGTTTTAGCTCTAGAATTCCATGATTCCAATGGAGAATCAAAGACTTCAAGGTAAGAAGAGCTTTAGTGGAGTTTGCGAGATGGAAAAGTTGAGAGAAAAATTTAAGAGTGAATGAATTCTGAAAATGAAATGGAATTATGAGGATTGTGTGTGTGAGGTTTGGAGAAAATCATTTAAATATGCTCTTGGTTAGGATCCAAATGTGGTTTGGAGTGTGGTTTGTGAAAATTGGAATGGGATTAGGAGTGGAAAATTGGAGGGAATTTGAATTAATTTGAAAGTTAATCAAAATTTAAAGTGGTTCTAGATCCTTCCTTTGGTGTAAAATCATCTTCACAAGTGATCAAAATGGACCCCAAAGTGAATTCCATTGAAAATTCACGTGCATAGGCAAAATTTTCCTTGGTTAATCTGTTAACCATATAGGTTAATTGATTAACACCTTCAAAAATTCAAATTTGACCTAATTTTGACTTTGTTAACCGGTTAACCAATTGGTTAATCGGTTAACACCTTAAAAGTTTGAATTTTGGCGCCTTTTGGAGGGAAATCTGCACATTTGTCCGTTTTCATCCGTTCTAAGCCTTGTTCAGCCTCTGAAACTTGCTCTTGAATACTACAACCATGAGAATGCTTGAGATAGCCTGAATGCTGCCTCTTGATATGAAAATATCCTGCAAAATAAAATAAAATCGACCGCTTGATCGCTGGGAAAAATAAATGCCAGAGCCTCTGATACTCGCTGTCTAGTCTCTTGCACTAATAGGAAACCTGAGTTGCAGAAAACCTTGATCCCCTGCCTCAAGAACAACTGTTATGCTATGCAAAAATGAAATGAAACATAAGTCAAATACAAGAAATGGTTGGTCAAATTTTGGGGTACAACAACTGCCCCTATTCAAGCGACTTGGACCTGAAGGGATGAAAAGCAGACGACTTTCAAACATTCCAGGTAGAAGATGCTTAAATACCAAAGAACCCAAAAATTTGTCAACCACAGAAATAGAACTGCAAACTGTTACTGGAACAAAAATCTCTGGAAATAAATGAATTGATAGTTGCAACGGCAATAAGCTAACTGATTACCAAACCAGAAAATCTCGACCCGCAGTCGGAAGAAACATCTGCTAACGCGCAAGCAACGACACTAAGTCGGAAAGATCATCTAATATCACCATCAGGCATCTGTTTGCGCGAAACAGGCATCGGACCCGAAGGTCGGCTCAACACGAAGTTGAGAAGAACGTCTGACATTGCCGCCAAGAATCTGTTAAATAAAAACAGGCATCAAACCCGAAGGCCGGATCAACACGAAATTGATAACATCTGCTAACCCAAGCAGGCATTCGCTAAATAAAAGCGAGCATCGAACTCGAAGTCCGGATTAACCTGAAGTTGAAAATCTCTACTAACTAGTAGGCATTCGCTAAATAAAAGCGTGCATCGAACCCGAAGGCCGGCTCAACCTGAAGTTGAAAATCTCTACTAACCAGTAGGCATTCGCTAAATAAAAGCGAGCATCGAACCCGAAGGCCGGCTCAACACGAAGTTGAGAATCTCTACTAACCAGTAGGCATTCGCTAAATAAAAGCGAGCATCTAACCTGAAGGCTGGATCAACCCGAAGTTGAAAATCTCTACTAACCAGTAGGCATTCGCTAAATAAAAGTGAGCATCGAACCCGAAGGTCGGATCAACACGAAGTTGAGATTAGTGAATCTAACGACAATTCACAAGAGAACTTCGCTGGGGACAAAGAAACTTAACCAAGCAACTATGTTGGGAAGCACATGATAAGATGACCACATCTATCAGAAGATTCTGCCGAGGTCTGGATACCTGTATGGGCTCAAGAATATAACGACACAAACTGCCATGGTCTGGATACCATACGAGTAACATAAATCAACCATCTGTTGGAAATACACTTGAAAACAAAAGGTAACAACCTGGCTTATGTTTCACATGCATATGTTTGAATATGGCGTAATGCTCCATATGAAATAGAAATGCTACGCGTTTCTGAGGATGCTATGCACGAATGCAGAGTGCAACGGAAACAAATCAGCAAAATAAATGCTGAAGAGACAACAAACTCCGTTGGGGAGAGGC